AGATAGATAGATAGATAGATAGATAGATAGATAGATAGATAGATAGAGATAGATAGATAGATAGATAGATAGATAGATAGATAGATAGATAGATAGATAGATAGATAGATAGATATAGTTTGAGAATGTATCTGTCTCTTGGATATGGACTCTTGATTGTCTGTAAATAACTTCTAAGGAGGCCATTTTTGCAAATTGATAAGTAGGCTTTATTTCATTAAAGAAATTTTATTAATGAAAAAAATGGGAGAATGTGATAATAGATTTGGAAGACTGTAAATTTAATTTTCTAATGCAGTTCTTCACTATGCTCAAAGGAATAAATAATTATTGTCAGTGTGCTGATATTCCAGACCAAACTAACATGCTAAAGGAGGAACCAAGCAACAGTCCCTCTCTCAGAAGCCAAACAAGCAAAATACTCTAGAGAGGAAAAAAGACATACTTCACTTGAAAAGGTATACTCTTAAAAGAGTGTGCAAATATTTGTGTTTCCCTAATAACCTTAGCCCTTTTCTTCTGTAGTACAATATGTACATCCCACAAAAGTGCTTTCTGTTTGATCAGTACTATGGCAAAAGTTATGTATCATACTAGATGTTCAAATATATAACTAATGTTAATATTATTGTGAGATTTTTAACATTCAAGTGAAGCCATTTATTTAACCAACTAATCAGGTCTCAGTCAAGGGACTTGCCAAGTGTACACACTGGGAGGTTTTTGACATAGAAAAACAATCATCTCTAATACCAATGGTCTTGAAATAAGAATGTTGATACAGAACAGGCATTACTAGCTACTGCATTTTAAAAGCATTTTTATAGAAAGGCTGAAAATCCTTATTTGAGTAACAGTGATGAACTGCGCTATTTAAGGCAAACATACAATACTGGAAATTTAGATATTTTTTGAATATCAAACAGAACTTAGTACTGGTTATTATTGCAACACTAACCCCAATCCCACCCTGACTGAATAACTACTAGCCATATTTAATTCCTGCGCCCAAAGTTCCTGGCAGTAGAATTATAAACATCAAATTTGTTGTGCCCATATTTAATTAATATAATCTAATATTACTGAAATGAATTAATATAATATAATATTACTGGTATTTACACCAAGACAAATTCCTTGTGTGTTCAATCACACTTGGCCAATAAAGTATTCTATTCTATTCTATCAAGGAGTCCCTGTTTTTATTAAATATCTTTATTGTCCATTCTTTTAAAGGCTGCACTAATATAAGATTCTACAGCATTAACTTTTTAAAGAATAAACACACAAAATAGGTATATCTCTATTGTCAACATCTATATATTAATACACCATATAATATATATTAGAAAATGGCAGTTATTGTTCCATTCTTCTTGCATTTGTTCCCTAAACACATGAAGTAGTTATACCTTATCAAGATCTCATCCTATAAATCTCAAGGCTCATCCAGATTTAAATTCAATAGATCTAGGTTCTCTTAACAAAAGTGTATTCTGAGTTTCCATAGAGTTGCTCTGATAGCTTAGCCTTGGTACCCAAGATATGTTATATATTATAACTATTGAGAGATATTCCAAAATACTGATAACCTAGAAAATTTAGATATTCTTACTTTATCTTTAAACAAAGGTTTTTCATTATATTTCTTATAAAACAATCTACTAGCTAACATATGTATTCTACAGATTCTGTACCTGGAAGATGGACTTGATACATCAGCAATTTGTCTGAACAGAAATGTAGGTCTCATTTGTAATCCTTCTTATGAAAATTATTGATGTGGCAACTGAATTCCTTCTTCAGAAGATATTGCTCTTCCTTTACTGGACTCCAACTTTCCATTCTATTTTCCCTTTAACCAATGAAAATCTACATTGAACTGTTCCAGATATGACCCTGTTCTTATTTATAAAATGCTGGGAGAATTGGATGCGTGTGAGTTGGGAAGTCATATAAATATTTAATAAAGATATAAATAAATAATAATTTTCCCAATTGTATTGTGGCAGATAATCCATTTGGTGAAATGGAATATTTTATCTGAATTTATTTTGGAAAATATTTGAACATTTAATTACATACGGCAACATGATACATCTGGATACAAGAAACAAACTTTAGAATATTGGGGGCAGGTATTAAGTTCTCTTGTTTATAGGGAGGGTCAGTTGATTATGAACAATTAAAATTTATTTAGCAATATTGTTATATGAATACAAAATATAAGTCATACATTGTTCATCAGCTAAAGCCCTCTTTTATATCAAATTGCAGGACTGCCATCATCTCTTGTTATTTGTTCATTTTGTCTTGTCTTTAAATTTGATAATAGCTTTCTTTTCTTTTTAACCTTCTTCAGCAGTCAACTATCCCTCCCATCCCAGGTTTTCTTAGATTTCTGGCTTGTAGGGAAGGGATCATTTGCATTTTACCCCAAAACAAATTATCCTTGAGCTCTTAATAATTACTAAAATAGTGGCCATCCTTAATTCTGAATGTGAAAAGTCACTGTAGACTAGTTTATTAAAAGCTTCCCTTAACTATAGTTTGAGAATGACTTTTTCTGGACAGAAAATGATAAAGTTGATAAGACTGTAGTATAGAAAGCAAATTCTCCAGTCCATGTGGAAAACAATATATCCCAAAATATTAGGCAGGCTTAAAGTTATCACTTAAGATTAATTATACAGCAACACTTGCACATTTTAGTTAAAATTATTTTTTCCTACTCTACTGACTGAAATTTAGTTCTGTTGTCAGTCACACATTCTATTAAACGCTCAACATCATAATTCACAAACACAAAACAAAGAGGACTTGAACTACAGTATCTCTGAGCTAGGTGGTGGCTACACTTGTTAAAATGCTTTTAGATATCATGTTTTGGATGTTTAACCACAAATATAATGAAATTGCAACAATGTATCCTTTCTAGTCTTGTTTTGTTTGGCAAGCATTCCTGGGTTTATATCTCGCCTCTTACAAGTCTAATGTAATGTCTTTTTTTTTTTTTACAAAAGCAAACAGGAACTAAATCACAGAGACAAAAAGCTCTATATCAGGATGCATTAGAGCCCTGACTCACAACAACATAAGCAATTCAGATTTTTACCAATGTGAAACTGTTGGGCCAATCAGAACTGTGGGTGAGAATGCCAAAGCGGTAATCTTTTAGCTGTTCAGACACTTAAAAATACATGTTTGGCACCTTAGGAAATGAATTTGTTGTGTTTTAAGACAGAAATCTCTACTAATCCAAACAGGATCTATGAATCCTGAAGATCTCTAGTTTTTGTACATGGTTCAGTGAAATTGATCACTTAGGACAGGGGTCACCAAACTTTTGGACCTCAGGGACCATTAACTTCATAATTTTTAATCCCATGGACCACTAATATGATCTGCCTAATGACTGGCTGGGTGGGCGTGGCTAGGTGATCATGTAACTGGGTGGGCATGGCCAACTCGATGTCACTTACAATGAGGGGTGCCTCGCCGGCCTCTAACTAGGCTTTCCAAGCAGAGAGAAGATCTATGGGAATGCAAAGCCAGGTACTGGCAGCTGGAGGTTGAGTGGGCTGAGATGGTCCAGTTCCAGGCCATGATGCAGTCCCACTGGAACACTGATTCTTCGCCATCAGCAGCACTTCCCTCCAGCCTTTGCCCAGGAGGCTGAACCAGACCCCAAATCAGAATTTCTGCCCCCCTCTGACTCTCACAAAAAGACCATGAGGGGGAGATTCTCTACAGCAACACAAACATTGCAAGTATCCGGCCTGGGGGACATAGTTTGAGAATCCCTGATTTAGTGCGATATGAAAAATACAAATAATTTTTCTGTGGACCACCAAAATTTTCTCGTGCACCACCAGTTGGCGACTGCTGATTTAGGAGGATGCAGGACACAGAAATCTTTCTTAAATGATCCATTTCCTTGAACCATGGATTTCATTGAACCAAGGATTTCTGTACCCAAGGGGCCAGCCAGTCCTTTGGACACATCTGAGACAATTCTAACAAGAAATTGTAGATGAAAACAGGAGAACCTACCTTCTCAGAGAGGGCTTCTTCCAAGGTAGCTAGAGCTGTATCTGTGTTACTGGAATCTGTCTGCAATGATTTCACACGATCTTTCAAATTAGTTAGTTGCTTGTCTTTATCTCTAAGTTGCTCCTGAAGATTTTCAATCTTTGTGGGGGGAGGGGGAGAGGCAAGATAATGAAACGTTTCATTATCACAGAAGGCAAGGTTTCAGAATGCATTCTATCCTAACAAAACAAAGCATATGTCGTGTGTTTCTTTCTGGAAACCAGAACTAGAACATATAGCCTGAAATTTATATTTAAAATCAACGTATCATGCTTTTTGATCAAATATAGGGAAAAGACCTGCATTTCCACCTGATTTAAGACAACTTTTTTTTCAAGACTGGACCTAAAATAAGAGTACAATAGATCTTTTGAAAGATAATCTGGCTTTGCTAGATTACCTGGAAAGTTTTCTCCCTTCATGCCACTTATTTAGCCACTATTTAAGTGCAGAGTTCTTGCCAATCAACATTTCCATATATCTTAACTGAATAGAACGATTCACCCAAAATAAAATAAACAATGCAAAAAAAATTGGCACATTTCTTTATCCTTGATCACACTCAGTCATTACTGGCATTATCACAGTGCCGCATAACCCAGTGGTGGGATTCAAATTTTTTTACTACCAGTTCTGTGGGCGTGGTTTGGTGGGTGTGGCAGGGGAAGGATACTGTAAAATCAGAGGTGGTGTTTGCTGGTTTTCCGAACTACCCAAAATTTCCACTATCAGTTCTCCAGAACTGGTCAGAACCTGCTGAATACCACCTCTGACATAACCTTATGACATGATGCACCTACACCAACAGTTTATAATAATCAAAATATATGGAATCCAATGAAGAATACTGAATTCACATACACCAGAGGTCTTCAATCTTGGCAACTTTAAGACTTGTGGACTTCAGAGAATTCAGAGACTTGGAGAATTCTGGGAGCTGAAGTCCACAAGTCTTAAAGTTGCCAAGTTTGGGGACCCCTGACATACCCTCTGACCGTCTACGTTCATTTGTGCTTTCAAATTTCACCTAGGGTGAATATAGCTATTGAATGCCATAAAATCATCTCCCTCAATTTGGAACCCTCCAGAGATGTGAGACAGTGTGGATCAATGGTGAGGTTATTATATTCTAACTTGTGAATGAAATACACAGTACCTTAAAACTTTATTGCATTGGGATGGTTCAGGGGTGGGATTCAAATTTCTTAACAACGAGTTCTGTGGGCATGGCCTAATTTGTGGGTGTGGCTTGGTGGTCATGTGACTGGGTGGGCATGGCTTGTATGTAAATATTGTAAATATTTATGTAAATATTGATTTTTTTTTAAAAAGAGCAACTTTTACCCAAATCAGGCAAAGCAGGCAGGCAGACTGAGTTGCTTGCAGAATGACAGAGCCACTCACAGATCTACCTTTCTGCAATCTGCTGCCTGAGTCAGTGGCGTGATTTGCCAGTTCTCCGAACTGTGCAGAATCGTAGCAACCAGTTCTATAGAACTGGTCCAAACAGGTAGAATCACACCCCTGGAATGGTTGCATAGTTACACTGTCATTGGCTGACTTTGCTTTGCAGTTTCTTTATAAGCTTTTATATCCAAACTGAGATATAATGAGAAAGTAAAACTAATTTCACACTGTTAGCTGGGGATAATCTGACTGCAGAATACTTGAGTAGTATTATTTTGTCAATAAATCATAACTATCCAATTTGATTAGATATTTACTTCTTTTGAAGAAATATATTTGACAGAGGTGTTCTTCATTTGCAATAAAGTACCCATCCCGTCCCATCCCAAATGTCTTTCTAGATTGCAATGCCTGGCATAAATTACAAATATATGAGAGGAATTATTTTGGAGACCCCACCAAGAGACAGAATTTTATCATGCCATGAACTTAGACATTAAAGTGACTGGGAGATGGAGGTTGCATCTATTTGCTGCACAGTTCAAAAGAAAAAAGGTTGGGATACAAGAAAAATGTTAGTCTATGACACTCTAATACAGTATAAAAGAACTAAGCAATATAAGAAGCGCATTGTTACATTTTATTTTCAACAGTACATAATGATTTTTTTTAAATTTAAAGTTAAGCAGATTTCTGCTTTTTATTTATGTATTTGGGGAAATGGAACAAAATAGAAGAAAACATAAGAGAAACATTGGAAAAATGGAGAGCTGAAGTAAAACAAACTAATATTGCCAAAAAAAATGATCTATGTAAAGAAAATTAATGACAAATAAGATAGTCCTCAACTTACAACAGTTCATTTAGTGACTGTTCAAAGTTACAATGGCTCTGAAAAAAGTGACTTATGAACATTTTTTACACTTATGACTGTGGCAGCATCCCCATGGCTATGTGATCAAGATTCAGATGCTTGGCGGCTGATTCATATTCATGATGGTTGCAGCATCCCAGAGTTTTTGGGACCTCATAAGCAAAGTCTATGGGGAAAGCCAGATTCACTTAACAACCATGTTACTAACTTAACATCTGCCATGATTCACTTAACAACTGTGTCAAAAAAGCCGTAAAATGGGACAAAACCCACTTAACAAATGTCTCACTTAGCAACAGAAATTTGGGGCTCAATTGTGATTGTAGGTCAAGGACTAACTGTAACAAGACTGCAATGATATTCTACTCAAAATAATTGAAGTGGTTCAGAAAATGACTACTGCTACTGTTCATTTTACATAAATCTTGGTAGTTTATTTTTTTCATTTCATTGTAGTCTTTGTTATCATTATGGAATGAAATATATAATAGAAGATAAAAATTTGAATGTGAACATTTAACATATAAGCTCTCAAGTCCATTTGCTCTACCAAATACTGTTCAATAAGGTGTATAAGAGAAAATAAACCATCCCCAAAACGTTGCTCAATATTGACACATGAAATATAGCTGATACATGAGCCTGTAATCATTATTATTTGAATATCCAACTCTAATTATATATAGTAGTTTTGTGTATTTTTTTAAAATTGACACATGGTAAGCATATGAATTATAAAATAAATGCAGGAAAAATGAATGAAAAATAGGTTGAAGAATCTCTTTCATATCTACTTCCACCTTCCTCTGGGCAAAGGAAAAAACTAAATGTATCTATGTATCTGCCAGTATAAAGAACAGATGCTTCTTAGGAAGGAGTCTATAAGTTCATGTTTATGTGCACACAACGGCCTTATATGGAACTATAGAAAAAAGGCAATCAGTAAATAAATTAACAGTTTTCTGTTTTATAACATTTTGTATTCTCTGTTCTCAGATCCAGTGCTAACTGGTCTTCCAAAGAGCATACATCATATTTCATGCATTTCTGTGATGGATTAAACAACTACATTATGACACCCTGTGGAATTCTAAAGACACTACACATTTAGATTGTGTCAAAATATAGATGTGAATACATATAAGCAAAGCAATCAAACAAACAAAATGGAGCAGGGAGGAGAATATAATTTGTATACAAAGTTTGGGCATTTTTTAAAATTATCCCTGGCTATAATACATATAATAAACACCCTAAATTAATACCATCTCCTGAGTATATATCTGAATTCTCATGTATTTATTTTTTTATCAGTTCTCTTAGAAATCATGATATTACTACAAGCTTTATCTGAGGCTGTGGGTCTTAGAATGCTGCACTTAGCAAAAATGCTTTCCTTAAATTTAAAGGATACAGACATTAAATTAACTGCATTGCACTCCGTATTACACTTGCAAAATACAGTGGGGAGTAGAACATTTGGTTCCTGTTAACTCCAAATTTTACACTTTTTCAAAACATTTGAGTAATATTAATATTGCTCTTTTTCCATGTACAACCTGATCTTGACTATTTTCACAATTGCTCTTAAGTTAATGTCAATAAGAGATAAATTAATAAATATATCTTATGAAAAACCATTCAGATGCTAATCATTATAAATGACAATACTGCAATTACTGATGACATAGCCAGGAAATTTCTTTATTTGTTTTTTTTAACCTGAAAAACCCACCAAATGTCAATGCACTGGTATTAAATGTGTTTCTAACCAGCATATTGTAAACATGACCAGACAAGCTAAGAATCATCTGTATAATCTCCAACTGCCTTGTCTGTAATCAGATTGCATAATTGTCTATTAAAATGACTTCACATAATCCTTTGGTATTTCCATAAATGGATATAAACACATTTAGAGCTGCCGCTCCATCTATTAAAAATCATTAAAAACTTTCACATGCAATCTTTTCAATTATGTGTCCTGTCAATACGTTTCTAAGTGGTAAACTTGTCACTTTTCTGGCAAACATTTCAGGAATGCTTCTTAAATGCTCAAAGGATTTAACTAAGTCTCACCTGAAGACAAGTGTTGCAATTTGATAGAAATTTAAGAACCCAAAACAAAACAAAACAAAAATCCCTTGTCATTTACGTTTTATAATGTGAACAAAAAGGTTTAAGAGTTGTTAACCTAATCTTACGTAGCTTTTTCTCTGGTAGTATTACATTACTAACTAGAGCATACAAAACATTTGCTAGACCAATATTTGAATACAGCTCATCAGTCTGGAACCCACATTATGTATCTGATATTAACACAGTTGAGAAAGTCCAGAAATATTTCACAAGAAGAGTTCTCCACTCCTCTACTCGTTGCAGAATACCTTATGCCACCAGACTCGAAATTCTAGACCTAGAAAACCTAGAACTACGCTGCCTTTGGTCCGATCTAAGTATAGTATATAAAATCATACATTGCAATGTCCTACCAGTCAATGAATACTTCAGCTTCAACCATAACAACACAAGAGCAAACAATAGATACAAACTCAAGGTTAATCGCACCAAACTTGATTGCAGGAAATATGACTTCAGCAGCAGAGTAGTCAATGTCTGGAATAGTCTACCTGACTCTGTGGTTTCTTCCCCAAACCCCCAAAATTTTAACCTTAGACTGTCTACTATTGACCTCACCCCTTTCCTAAGAGGTCTGAAGGGGGCATGCATAAGCACACCAACGTGCCTACCGTCCCTGTCCTATTGTTTCTTTTATATATTTTTTATTTTTCTTATATGTATCCATGTATTCATAACT